TTTTTTTTTTTGCAGCCATCATTGTTGTTTGGTGGGCCCAGGCTGGGGATTCGAACCCGCCACCTTAGGTGTGTGTGGCTGGTGCCTTAGCCACTTGAGTCACAGGCACCGAGCCATCAAGAGCTGCTTTATATCATTATTTTCTTGGCATCTGTGAGTCCTATGGAGACCCACAGTTAGAAATACCTTCTCATAAGTACATATAGGTACAGACATTAATGACTAGATGCTAAACCTTGATGCACAGGTCCAATGCAGTGGCTCACACCTATAATCCTAGCACTCTGGGAGGCTGAGGTGGGTAGATTGCTTGAGGTCAGGAATTCAAACCTAGCCTGAAAAAGAACCAGACCCTGTCTCTACTAAAAATAGGAAAATTAGCCAGGTATCATGGCAGGCACCTGTAGTCCCAGCTACTTGGGAGGCTGAAGCAAGATCACTTGAGTCCGAGTTTGAGGTGCTGTGAGCTATGATACCACAGCTCTCTACCCAGGACAATAGAGTGAGGCTCTGTCTCAAATAAATAAATAAAGAAATAAGCAAGCCACCCAGCCATGATATATGAAATTAGTGTGTACAACAAGGGACAAGCCAGTCAGTGCTGCCAGTCCTATTCTTATTAATACAGATCAGACCACACCTGGAGAATAATGTTCAGAGGAGAGCAAACTGAATTATGTCCAAAAGAATAACGAAGTCACTGGTAATGTGTCATCCAGGGAATAGCTGTATACTGGAAATTCTTAGCTTGAAAAAAGAGATGCTACATTCAAAGCTTGATCTACCACTTACTAGGGGTGTGTTCTTATGCAAGGTGACACTTGTGACACTTGTGTTCAACTTGTGACACTTCTGTTTCCTCACCTATAAAATGAGAATTGTAATAGTACTTAACTCATAGGGTTGTTTTTAAGAATTAACTGAGACAGGGTATGTAATCTGCTCATCCCAGTGTCTGGCACTAATAACTTGGATAAAATGGGAGCTATAATTATTTTATCTGAGCACTAGATAATACTTTTAACTGATATTCTACAATTATGAATCTAAAGTATTTTAGAGGAGCCTAAACAATCTTTCCAAAAATTAACTGTAAGGAAGTTATATGGGCAAGGGATGGCACGAGTCCTGGACCAACACTGGAGCTCCATATTACATAAAGAACTTAAACTTCCTTTCCTGGCTACGTGTATAATGGGAATATGTTTGGTTCATCAAACAGTCCCTCTATTTTAGAAGCTCTGCTGGGAATAGGGACATTAGTGGGCTGGTTCTGTGCTTTGCTCCTTCCTATCTTGACTCTCAGCGATTTCCTCCTTTCTACTGCCAGTTCAGAGCCCTAGGTTAATGACTGTTTCTTATAAGAAGTATCTAGAATACAAAGGATCACTCACAGTATGCACTTGAAATAGGCCTGAGCCATTAGCAGAGCCTGCCTGTGTGGTCCAGCTTAGGCAGAAAGCCAGAGAAAGTGATTTGTTCACTGGCAACCAGACACCTGGACCCCACATGGTCTCCTACCGTGGCCTCACAGCCTTCCCCTCCAAAGCCATTGCTGCATGAGATACACTTGTGTCCGTCTACACTGACTTCACAGTAGGTCTGAATGTGCTGCTTTGCAGGAAACATATGGGCTATGTGCAGCCCCCGACTGTCCCATAATCTGAAAGAAATTAAATCAGGAAATGAGTTTGTAATAAATGTGTCTGAAATACACCTGTAATATCCCACTACATAAAAGTTTTAGTGTTTTTGCTGCTTACGCCAATCAACAGACTAGAGAATTCAATTTTAAGAATGTTATGATTTACCTAAAAACAGCAGCATGAACCAAATCAATTTCTGAGACTCTGAAGCTAGCAGGAAATAACCAAATGGAATGACATCTGAGTTCTTTCTATTTTGAGATCAGTTAAAAGGAATTTAGACCAAGTATCTTAATTGTACAAATTAATTTGATAATTTGGTCCTTTGGGTTACTGCTTTCAACGCACAAGAGGATATTTCTGTGTCTATGATTTAAGTTTTTAAAAAGACACTACTTATGATACAGAAAAGTACTCATCATTCAGCATCAGATACAAAAGCTTCAAAGGCCTTGGCCACGAGGTCCAATGAAGAGTGTTCGGTTTGTTTTTTGTCTCATTTTTACTTCTTTGTTCCATTCCTACCATTTTCTAAGTAGATTCTCCTCCGAGGTCTGAAATTTCTAGGTGTGCTCTTGAGTCTAAGGACTAGTGGCTTTGTTTGACTCCCTGATGCTGATCCCAACCCTGCTTCCCCAGGGAGGGCTCTAGCTGAAGGCCAGGCAATTGAGAATGCCAGGAGCTACACAGTAGAAGCAAGCAGAGCCAGGCAGCCCACCAGGGTGGGACAAGCAAGGGAATGATTCTGAAATTAATCTGGACACATTCCCATAGTGGGAAATGCCTGAATCAGCTGCTTCAAGACTATCTAGGACAGGGGCTTTCTAGTGGCCTGATATCCTGGCATCTAATCTCTACCCTGATAATCCACTATCCACTGGGCCAGATCAGAGAGGCCCTGACACCAGTGAAGGACAGAGGGGTGGGAGCCTCTGGGAAGGGCACAGCAATGCGGAGATGCAGGGCAGGAACATAGTCATTATGCATGAGAGCCACAAACCTCACCAGAAATACCTTCACTGCTGCTCTGTAAGCTTACCTGATGGTTTTATCCTCAGAGGTCTGTAGTACATATGGTTCTCTGGGGACCCAGCACAGGTGAGTGACCTGGAAAAAGCAAAATGTTTAAAAGCTCTCCATACCAAGTCATTCCTGTAAGCTGTGCTAATTAGCGTATCTATACCTCTCCTCAAGGATACTGAAGTAGCAAATCTAACTTAGGGAGAGTTTAAGCTTTTCAGATGACTATCAGTTATGCTCTACCTATAGCTCTTAAGTTAGCAGAAGCAAGCTGGGCGCTGTGGCACTCCCACTCTGTGGGAGGCTGAGGCTGGAGGATGGTTTAGCTTAGGAGTTCAAAACCAGCCTAAGCAAGAGTGAGACCCTGTCTTTATTAAAAATAGAAAAAAAATAGCTGGTTGTTGTGGTGCATGCCTGTAGTCCCAGCTACTGGGGAGGCTGAGGCAGGAGGAGCGCCTGAGCCCAGGAGTTTGAGGTTGCTGTGAGCTATGATGATGCTATTGCATGGCACTCTAGCCTGTGGTAACAGAATAACAGAGTGAGACAGTCTCAAAAAAAAAAAAAAAAAAAGTTATCAGAAACAAAGTAGCAGCTTGGGTACCTGAAACCCCAGCCAAGTAGCAGAGAGCTACTGGCCACCAGGTGGCAGCTAGCAGAACAGCCTCCGTTTTAAGGTGGGACCACTGAAACTTGAGTCCAATACCTCCTGGGCTTCAGCAAGAGCACTGGCGTTTCTCTTCACCCCTACAGCCCCTGCTGGAAAGGCATGAAGTAGTTTTCAAAAGAACTCAAGATAACAGGATTTTATTATCTTCCAATAACCTCCACAAATATGGAGGGCATGGGACATGCACATTTGCCATTGATAGTTGTCATCAAAATTAGAAAATATTAAAGGATGACGATTACTGAAATTTGACAACCACTAAAGGAACATCTCCCATGGATCAGGCACGATGAGGTTGTTTCACGTACATGACTGCACTTCATCCTCGGAAGAACCTCATTGGGTGATATAATCCTCCACATTTTACAAATGAAGACACAGAGACTCTAAGAGCTTAAGTAGTTTTCTTGGGGTAACACAACTAATAAATGATAGATCACTAATTCAAAACTTGGGTATGACTGACCCTAAAGGATATGCAGTTTATATACCAGTCTGCTACCAGAAAACAAATGGCCTTCAAAAACAGGGCACATTATACATAAAGAAAAAGGTAATGCTTATTTCTCTGCATGATGTTACATATACAGAATGTACAATAAGCATAAGCTGTCAGCTCCTGGAAGACAGGAACTGTGTGTCCTTGGTGACTAACCCTATTCCTAGCACAGTGTCTGGCCCACAGAGGAAATGGACTAACTACATTTTGAAGGAATAAATGAGGATAGCATTTTAAATTCTAATATAAACAAATAGAATCATTTTCTGGAGCAGAAGGCTCAAGAGATCATCTAATCCAATAATTCTGAAAGGCCAAGATCACACAGGAAGTCAAGACCCAAAGCTACTCTCTCTCTGCTGGCCTTTTCCCTCACCCCATGCTCTCGCTGCTGCCCTGCTCTGTGCCAAGTCTGAGTTCATACCACATTCCTGGAAACAGATGCTCTCTCCACACACTGTCCGGTTCCCAAATCCCACAGAAGCAAGGTGTTGTCCCGAGAGCCAGTGCACAACTGTGACAAGTCTTTGGAAACAATGGTAAGAAGACAAACCATGAGTCAGGGCTTGAACAGGGCTTTCTCCAGAAATACAACTGTATCTGGAAGAGATCTACTTCACTTTACCTGGACCCACAGCCAATCCGGTCACCACCATGGTATGGCCAGACAATTGCTGCCTAGGTTGTGAGGAACCATGCAAGTCCCACATCATGACCATTTTGTCACGAGAGGCACTGAAGAACTGGCTTGAGTTGGGAATGCAGGCTACCTGCTCAGGGAGAAAACAGACAAAAACTGAAATAGCTCAGGTATGATAGTTGGATTGGACATTAAAATGGGGGAAAGATGGGTTTGCATAACTCCCTTCACATGCTTTTTAAAAGAGTAATACCTAAATTTGCTCTATGAATGGAAAGCACAGGTCAGTTTGAATTTCCACCTTTATCAATTAATGTTTTGCTACCCTTTCCTCTCTAAGTAGCAGACTTCCTCCTGTCCTTCAAGGTAAGGTTAAAAATCTCACCTCCTCCATGAAGCCTCCTCAGACCGTCTGGCTCCCTCACTTCCCTGGGGATCTCCCCTTTGGGGATGCCAGTGGACCTTCTTCTCTGTGTGAGCTCTTTGGCACTGCATTATCGGCCACTCCAAATGGGGATGGAATGCAGAGCACTCTCAGATGCTTCATCTCATTAATCAGAGAACTATCTCATATCATCTCTTATTTTGAGTTGTAATGCCATTCATTTTATTTTGTTTTTAAAGAATTTTTTTCTCTATTTTTAATCATGTAAAGATCCACTTATTTCTACTTTACCCAAGAATTTCACAGAAATCAATGTTAAATCTTCTAATTTACTAAGATGATCGTGTTTTTCTCCCTTTGACCAATTAATATAGAAAATATTCACTAATTTCTAATATTTCTCCTACTATTTCCTCCTATTCTGCATTCTTAGAATAATGCTTGGCTAGCCATGGTGTGTTACTCTTTAACAAAAAGTTAGATTCTATTTCCTAATGTCTCACTTATCATTTTTGTATCCATTCTGGAACAGACTGTGAGTAGTGTACCCACTGTCCATTTTCCCATTCTTACTTCATAATATAACCTCTATATTGATGGGTATGGCAATACATTCAGCTATAAACTCAGATTTTCTGGCCCCCTTGAAGACAGGGGTAGCCAATGAGATATAAGGGGAAGTCAGACTTCTAGGAAACTATTTAAAGGAGTTGGCAGGCACAACCTTTTGCTCTTGTCTCTTCTTCCTTCCTCTGCCTTGAGATCAGATATGGTGACTGGAGTTGCAGCAGCCATCTTGTGAACAGGAGGCAACCTTGAAGAAGGAAGCCAAGCTCTGACGGCAGACAAGAAAGATAGAAGGAGTCTGGCTCCCTCATGACCATGGAGCCACCACACCAACCTTCAACTACATACTTACGGCACTATTATTTGGGCTTTCTATTATCTGAAGCCATATCTAATTTCATCTAATATAGGTATTCATTGGTCTGTGGTTTACACCATATGCTTTGCCTTGTTTTGTACTGATGTATATTGGCTTTATAAAAAGAATTAAGAAGTTGTCTCTTTTCTCTATACCCTGGAACAGTATAAATTGCATAGAACTATCACTTTTTATGAATTTGAAAGAATTCCTTTGAAACCATCAGAGCCTAACACTCTATGACAGGTAATTCTATTGTACTCACGATGAACTGAAAGTATTTCTCTGTTCCATTTAATACTTTTTACCTTGAATTCAACTTTGTTTGATATTACTATCACAACAACTGCTTTCTGTTTGGTTGCGTTCGCCTGATATAACTTTGCTCACTTTTTTTGTTCTATTTTCATCTCTTCCCTGATGTTTCCTTTTCTTAAAACTGTGGTAAAATATACACAAAACTTACCATTTTGACAACTTTTGAGTGTACAATTCAGTGGCATCAAGTGCACGCACACTGTTGTGCAACTATCACCACTATTCATCCCTAGAACTTTTTCATCATCCCAAACTGAAACTTAACCAATTTAACCATAACTCTCTGTTTTTCTCTTCCCCATCCCCTGGCAACCACCATTCCACTTTCTCTATGAATTTGACTATTTTAGGTACCTCATATAAGTGGAATCATACAATATTTGTCCTTTTGTGTTGGTTTCTTTCACTTAGTGTAATGTTTTCCTGGTTCATCCATGTTATAACATTCCTTTTTAAGGCTGAATAATTCCATTGTAGGTATATTACCATATTTTGTTTATTCACGCATGTGTCAATGGACATTGGGTTGTTTCCAGTTTTCTTTCTTTTTTTTTTTTTTTTGAGACAGAGCCTCAAGCTATCCCCCTAGGTAGAATGCCATGGCATCACAGCTCACAGCAACCTCCAATTCTTGGGCTCAAGCGAGGCCTCTGCCTCCCAAGTTGCTGGGACCACAGGTGCCCGCCAAAACACCTGGTTATTTACTTTTTTTTTTTTCGGTTGCAGCCATCATTGTTGTTCGGCGGACCCAGGGCTGGATTCGAACCCGCTACCTTAGGTGTATGTGGCTGGCGCCTTAGCCACTTGAGCCACAGGCGCCGAGCCTTTCCAGTTTTCAACTACTGTAAGTAATGCTGCTATGAACATGGGTATACAAATGTCTGTTCTATCTTTGCTCACTGTTTTACTTTCAATCTTTAGGCTGCCTTGAACTAGATAACTCTTTAAGTGATGTATAGGTGGCTTTAGTTTTTAATTAAGAGTATTTTCTTTTAATAAGTGTATTTATCCCAATTAAATTTATTGTTGTCATAGATATTTTGATCTTGTTTTATCTTTTCCATTACTATTTTTTTGTGGGGGGTGGTGGTGACAGAGTCTCTCTTTGTTGCCCTCGGTAGAGTGATGTGGCACAGCTCACAGCAACTTTAAATTCTTGGGCTTAAGTGATCCCCTTGCCTCAGCCTCCTGAGTAGCTGGGACTATAGGTACCTGCTACAACACCCAGCTATTTCTTTTATTTTCTAAGACATAGGGTCTTGCTCTTGCTTAGGCTGGTCTCAAACTTATGAGCTCAGGTAATCCACTCAGGCAATGGCCTCCTAGGGTGCTGGGATGACAGGTGTGAGCCTTTTTTATTATTTTTTTAAAAAACACTTCATTATGTTTTCATTGTCTTCTTTTTCTATAAAGGAGTGTGTTTTACAGGATGGATTCAAGCCAGCTTCTCCAGTTCTCCTGACAAGACATCTGCCCTAATAAAAACTTCCTTTCTTCCTTAGCAATCCTTGCTGTCTCAATAGTTGGATTTTTGTACAATGACTAATTAATCCTAAACTGAAGTTCTCTTGTGGTGACAGTAACACAGGGAAAGACCAAAAGCTTCTCTTACAGCTGCTTGGCCATGTAGGTTTCACTTTGGATCCTTTCTCCTTATTAATCAAAAATGAAACATCTTGGAATTTGAGCAAGTCAATCTCGGAGGGCAAGTCCAACAAGGCCCAACATATGTTCACGTATTACGCACACACACAAGATAAATTCTCCTTTACTTCCCTTCCTTAGTTAGCCCAGGGTCTACTATAACTTGAGTTGTCATCGTGGATAGTGATAATATCTGTTCAGTCCTTCAGCTCTTTATAGTGACCAGAAGAAGCAGAAGTGAGCTGCCTCAACTTTGTTATATAGCCCAATTTTACCGGTAACCTATGTCTTTAGTCCTCTCTTTCCAAATAAAGGTTGTTGGGAGGGCCATTCAGGACCAGTTCTTTTAAAAAAAAATCTGTACTCTGCCAGTGATCTGGGGGCAAGTGCCTTAGAAAATGGTGTTCTCTCAGTCTAGCCCCAAACTGCAATGTATCTGGCACATAAATACCACATTTTATGCTATGGAATTGTGGCTGATGCCTACTTTCATTATAGATGAGTTGCACATCTTAATTTTGGGTTCATTTAGGTGCACTTCAGAAATGGGTTTACATAAATTGACATTCTCTATCATGTTTTGTAAGGTCACTCACTCTACTCTGTAATGCTGGCTTTTTTTTTTTTTTGGAGACAAGGTCTGGCTCTATTGCCCAGACTATAGTGCAGTGCCCTCATAGCTCATGGCAACATCAAATTCCTGGGCTCACGTGATCCACCTGCTTCAGCCTCCCAAATAGCTGGGACTACAGGCATGTGCCACCACTCCTAGTAAGTTTTTTTATTTTTTGTAGAGCTAGGGTCTTGCTATTGCCCAGGTTGGTCTCAAAATCCTGGGCTCAAGCAATCTTTCTGCCTCAGTCTTCCAATATGCTAGGATTATAGGTGTGAGCCACTGTTCCCGGCTTATAACAGTATTTAATAAATTCATTTTAAATTTACTTTTGTTGACTTTTTAAAATCTTCTCCAGTTACACCAGGTTGCTAAGCATAGAGTTTTTGTAATTTTTCTCGCTATAGTAAACACACAGTAAGCTTCAGTATGTCCCTGTTAAATTAGGATAGGTCAAGGAGAGTTGTTGTTATCAGCTATTCTTTATTTACTACAGTGCTATTAAGAGGTTAATAACAAAAGAAAACTGTCCAATACACCTGTAACAGGAACTAAGTAAATGGTTTGCTTTGCTTTTCCTGGAGTAGGGTTTCACAATATCAAATGAAGCCCTTGCATTTTTCCTTAAGATTGAACACTCACTCTTAATATCTAGAGCTGATAGATATTCCTTTATTCAGTTCCAAATTCCTTTCATAACAATAATCATTTGACAGTTACCTTGGTGATTTCATTCTCATGTCCTTTGAACTTTTTCACCACATTTCCAGTTTTCCAATTGTAGGCCACAACAGTCTGCAGAGAGTCATTAAAATATTTTAATCACTGAATTTGTGTTTAACCAAAACTAGCTTTTGTTTCATTCCACACTTTAATTTCTCCCCTATTATTTACTCCCTCTCTGTCAAGTGACTTGCTTTAAGTGTTAGAGGTTTACTGCTGTGCTTCTTCTCATATTCCCTTCCTTTGAGTTTCTTTTCTTTCCTCTTGACCATCTTTCTGTATCTCCCTAAGACACTAGATACTCCTCTAAACCTTCCTGATGAGTTTGGGATAATACACCCCAAGGACTGTTTCAGCGGGAGGTTCTAGCTATAGACGCTGAAGGAGAATTCTACATAGGATTAGATCCTCCCCCACTGTACTATAATTATTTTTGTTGTGTTCTTTTTTTAATTTATAAACTTAGCCACTGATCTCTTTTTTTCTTTTTTTGTGACAGGGTCTTAGTCTATAATCCAGGATGGAATGTAGTGGTATGATCACCGCTCACTATAACCTTGAACTACTGGGCTTTAGCATCCACCCGCCTTAGCCTCCAAGTAGCTAGGATTATAGGCAACCCCATCACTCTTGAAGGGACAGGGTCTCACTATGTTGCCAGGCTGACACTGAACTCTAGGCCTCCCAAAGTTCTGGGATTACAGGCATGAGCCACTGTGCCTGGCCAATCTTAACCATTTTTAAGTGTACAGTGAAGTATATTTACACTGTTGTGAAACAGATTGTACTTTTTCTTTTCTTTTTTTTTTTTTGAGAAAGAGTCTCACTTTGTTGCCCTCAATAGAGTGCTATGGCATCATAGCTCACAGCAACCTCAAACTCTTAGGCTTAAACGATTCTCTTGCCTTAGCCTCCCAAGCAGCTAGGACTATAGGTGCTTGCCACAATGCCCAGCTATTTTTTGTAGCAGTTGTCATTGTTGTTTTTAGCAGGCCAGGGCTAGGTTCAAACCGACCAGGCCTGGTGTATGTGGCCAGCGCCCTAGCCACTGAGCTATGGGCACTGAGCCAAAGAGGATCATTGTTAAAATTTTCTTTCTGTATTTTTTAGTTGTATACTTTAATAATTTAAAGTATAAGCATTTCTCTCCCTAAACAGGATTTTAAATGCATTTTCTGCCCAAGTCTCCATAGTTCATTGCAAGAGAATAAGCAGCATGTACTTAGGGTAGACCCAGCCCCTGTTGCAGTTGCACTCATCTTTCTAAATAAAGGGCTGTTGAGGTGGCCATTGCTAGTTCTGATCTATAAAACAAAGAGGATAATCCTTGCTCTTTCTACACCTCACAAGTGTGAGTGAGGCTCACACATGTATAAATAAAATTTCTTACATCTAAGACGATATAGATTTTTTTTTTTTTTTTTGGCTGGGGCCGGGTTTGAACCTACCACCTCCAGTATATGGGACTGGTGCCCTACTCCTTTGAGCTACAGGAGCCACCCAACGATATAGATTTTAAGACAAAAATACTGCCAGCTCTGCCAGCTGACCGCTCTTGCTCAGGCTGGTCTTGAACTCCTTATATCAATTAATATATGATACTGAGATGTATCCTGGTTCCAGAGATGTTAAAATTTGAAAACATGCACACATTCTAGAACTAGTGAAATACAGTATGCAAATGGAATATGAAGATTCTAAAAGGCTATTAAAAGTGAGAGACGATATTAGTATTATTCTCTATAAAGAGAATCAGCATTTTTTTTGCCACCAATATCCAACCTGTGAAGGCGCTGATAGATCCAAATATGGAGGAGAGAAAACAATCAGATTCAAAGTGACAATGGGAGGAAGGATAAAACATGGAAGGGAGAATCATGATGCCACTCAAGTATAGACAAAAGCGTAACATAAAAGTGACTAAAATAGATTAGAAAGTTCCTTTTGCTGACAAATAACTCCTGTGTCTGCATGTAAGAATAAAAAGGGATTGACTGGAGGAATAATCCTTGCCATTTATAAAGAGCATGTGGGTGGTCAAGCATAGTGCTAACAGTCTTACCCATATTCTCTCTCTCTCTCTCTTTTTTTTTTTGAGATGGAGTCTCACTTTGCCACCCTGGGTACAGTGCCATGGCATCATCATAGCTTATGTCAATCTCAAACTCCTGGCCTCCTGAGCAGCTGGAACTAAAGGCACTCACACAACACCCGGCTACTGTAGAGGGGAATCACTCTTGCTCAGGCTGGTCGTGAACTCCTTAACTCAAGCAATCCACCTGCCTTGGCTGCCCAGAAGGCTAGGATTACAGGAGTGAGCCATCGCACGCAGCCTTATGTGTTTCTTCATTTAATCTACATAACTGTCCTATTAGGTGGCATTATTATACCCACCAACAGAGAAAGAGACTAAAGCTCAAACAATTTAAAGGTTTTCCCAAAGTAATAGAGAGTGATTAAGCAAGGTTTAAACCTAGTCTTTCTAAATAGAAAGTCCATATTTTTGTACTACTCATCTCTGGGTCCAGCAACGCAAACCCTAGACTTAGATTCCAAATATAACCCTTGCGGTCATTAATCAGTTTCCTAGGAAACACTGCAAACCCTACCTTATCTTTTCCTCCAGAGACACAAAGATCTGAATTCAGAGCAGCAACAGCAGAGACGGTATCCAGATGAGCAGGGCTATACTCTTGAAAAGCTTTAGTTTGAATTTTCTCTTCTATAATTCCATCAGGCCTGCTAAAGAGAGGATGGAACATGAGAGACCCAATGACATGGGAGTAGACAGGAGAGCAAGAAGAGTGTGAGCTAAGGTCATGGCAATTCAGGATGGGGCAGAGGAGAAAGATGAAAAAGGAGATTCACTGACATTGTTAGCAAAGGTATTATTTACTCAGTGCACAAAATGACTGAATGACTGGAATCTGATAAAGGGGAATCCTAAAGCCAAGAAGCCAGGAGTCTTTGTGCATATAGAGATTAATCCCAAAGATGCAGGCCCCCTCCATGTGTGCGTACAAATACTAGCTAATAAGCTGACTATTTCTGATCCAAAAGAGAACAGGCTAAATTAGTTGGGTAGCAGGTGCCTGTGGTCCCAGCTACTGAGAGGAGCTAAGTCAGGAGAATTGGTTGAGCCCAGGAGTTCAGAATTTGAGACCAGCCTGTGTTGATATGTTGATAGAGTGAGGCTCCATCTCAAAAAAAAAAAAAAAAA